ATTCTACTGCTATAACTGACATAAAGCTTCTATGTAAAGCAGATGTTTCCTGAAGCCACCGTACCTTTAGTGTGTCCATATCCTCGGATGTAATCCAGAACTGGAGGTGCATCGTTGTAGAGGGCGTAGACCGAGCTGTTGGACTGGAACCAAAACTTGTTTAATGCACACAGCAGCTGGAGGATGTTTTTAATATTTCAGTTTTCTTGTATATTTAACCTCTGCAAAGGCACAAAGACGTGAAGATAAAATCCTGACATCCGTCTCTCTCTACGATCAGACTTAGCAGATGTTACTGGTCCCGGCTTTGGTTGGGTTTAATTATTGATTATTGATTAGAGATGCTGCCGGATGCATGTGAATACTTTTCTAAATAAAGCCAAAATAACTGTTTCCCCATTTTATTAGTTCACACTAACCTGCTGCTGGCTGTAGCTTCATATTTACGTGTGAGGAGAATCGATAAATAAACACATTCCCCCAAATTATTCCCACAAAATGCCGACTATGGTGTTAAACACCATAAAGGAATGTGGTCAGTTCATCTTTTATAGTTTAGTTTATATAAATGTATGAGTTTTGCTAATTCAACTTAATATATAAATTTTTTTTTAACGTTTTCAAACTATTCTAAAAACTAAAATCATCATAAATCCAGTTGTTTTGTTTGTTTTTTTTAAAACTTAAAATGATGAGTTAAAGAATGAACAACTGTTCAACAGTTTACTCAACTCATGAAATTAAGTTTACAAGAACCAAACGAGCATATCAGCAGATTTCCCAGAATGCTTTGTTAGAAATGTAAAACATCACCGACTTGTCTTTTACAGAGTTTGAGACATGCTGGAAACTTGCTGCTTGTCTTATTTAAATTTATTATTCCTTTTCATAATAATAAAACATTTCTAACCAACGTTTTTAAACTTAGAAAATGTAAAAAGAAAGTAAGTCTGTGAATATTTTCCATGTGACTTGTTGATTTAATTTAATTTAATTTAATTTAATATCTTGAGTTTTGTTTTCTCTAGTTTAGTTATTTCAACTCGGCTCGTTTTACACTATTAACTAATTAATCATAAAAACTGGAGGTAAGTCACATTTTTTTAAGCAGCAGAGGAACTTAAGCTCAATGACTTACAGTTTCTAACCTTATGTTTGTCAGTTGTATTCATTTGGACTTGATTACTGTCCACATGCTCAAAAACATCCTTTATTTTTATCAGTTTGGGGAAGCTGTTTTTACTTTCCATCTTCCGCTCAGTTTCCCAGAAGAGTGTTAATCTGCCTCCAGAATCAAAGAAGGAACCAGAATGAAATCTGTTTAGTGAGAGAGACTCACCTTGTAGGCGTCTCCTTTGTAAAGCTGGTTCAGGGTGTTCACTACGGCTCCCTGGCTGGAGTTGATGGTGAATTTACTCATCTGCCAGCTGCCTGCTGCAGAGTCCAGGTACATGTACTCCACTCCGCTGCCCACCTCACCGATCCGGTACCGGGGCAGCTTGTAGAAGATGAACCTGGAAAAGCACGGAGAGAGGACATAGCACGAGGAATTATTCAACAGATGCCTGGTGGCTCCAAAACATTCAACCAACGGTGTTCAGTCTTCATTTCAGCTGCTTGTATAATGTAAAATAAATCATTTAATTCATGTTTAACCTACTGCAATTGAAAAATGTGTCCAATATTAAACTGACGCAATAGAGAAATTGATCTATTCTGTGGGTTAATGATGTATAACAACTTTTATTTTATACCTTTTCTTATCTATTACTGAACAATTATAAAAGGGAAATGTGTTTTTTTAATCTCTAGTTTGCTAATTTATTATTGTTCTCATTCCAACATCACAGTCAGTCCCAGACGTCGCTGTCTCGAGTTTTCATGAAGCGCAGGAGAAAAATCTGAAGAGTTTCAGTTAAAAAACAAAACAAGAAAAAGGAAGTTGTGTTTTTTTACTGAAGCTCTTAGAAATGTCGTGACCTGAATGACTGAGAAGCTGCAGATTCATTTTATGTCACTGCTCAGTTGCTTATTTATAAAAAAGTTCCTTATTCAGAATACTTAAATACAATAAAAAGCTGAACCCTTGTTACAGATTTCCAAAATCAGCCGACTTACAGCAGAAACTGATGAGCTGTTATTTCACAGATTTCACGCCTCGTGGTTCCAACACATTCTTTCAGTCTTCGTTTCGGGCGAACATTTTACTCTTGTCTGTTTGTTTCCACCAACTCACCAGTCAACAGGCTCCCCGGCTTCATTCCTGCAGGAGATCTCAGCGTTACACACTGTGCAACACAACAACGCGACAGCAGCAACCTGGAAGCACCCGGCGGAGATCGAGGCCATGCTGCAGCCGACGTGAAGACAGCAGCGATTTTTACCAAAAAGAAAAGGGAATCTAGATCTATTGTGAGGCTTTATGACTGAGAGACTCTGACAATGCAGCTGCTTGCAGATGCAAAAAAGGGAAGTCATGAGATGCAGTCACATGACAGGGGAAGACTGAAAGGACAGAGAGAGTGCGTTTATTAAAGGTTGACAGGCTCTTATTGTGGGAAATAAACCTTGATTATTACCTTTAACTCATCCTGTGATAGTTTTTTTTTTTGGTCTTTTTCAGCTGTTCTCTTGCACCTGTTCACACCTGAGAGCTCCGTCTGTTATTTTTAGCCGTCGATCACTGAACTGGAAATCATTTGGTTAAAAAAAATTATCTCACCATGTAGAAGAAAGCTGTGGCATAAAGGACTTTCATTTCAACCGACGGGGAATTAAACAGGAGTTCAGATGATTGTTTGGCTCATCTGTGGTGAATATAGAAATAAAACGGAGCATCATGAAGCGGATCAGGGAGGCCAAGGATCCATTAACTTAATTATAACGAAGATTAATTCATGCTGCAACTTGACTTGGTCTTTAAAAAGATCTGCAGAAATAATTCTTCTCTATTTCATTACCAGCAAAAACCTGCATTGAGAAGTCAAAATGAGCAAATGTTTGTGTGACATTATTATTATTGACGTACAAGCAGCCTGGTCAACATGGGCCTGGTTCTATTTCTGTTCTGTCCAGTTATTCCAACATATAACAAGATTAAACTCTGCTACACACATTTAGATAAAGTTTTGCCCCTTTGGAGCAGGCATTAAGATTAAATATGTACAGAACAATCCCTCAAAGACACATGATAGTAGATGTTTGCCGACATCTAGTTTACAGATATTTTCTAACTCACGAGTCCTTTCATATAGAATCAGCCGCCAATTTTACATCTACAGTAACTTTAGTAAAGTTTCACCTTCGTACTATGAATATTTTCAGACTTACGGGCCCTCGAAGTTCATCAAAGTAGGTGGAAATGTTTCACCTTTTTGATTAAAGACCTGCACAACATTCTCAGGGCTGAAAACCACATCTGCAACCAGCTGTTAAATTGTAGATTTACCATTAAATAACAGAAAATTAAATATTTTTCACCATTTCTTTCTATTATAGAGTTACCATTCAATACCATTAAACTGGCCTTTTTGTTTTCCACAATACATACACTATTAAAATACAGAAAAGTTTGCAAACTTGCTGGTTGATCAGAAGGTGGCCGACCCAGGGCTCTATAAGGGATTATCATTTATAAATGACGCTGATCAAAATGCGTGATTCATTACACACAACGCAAAGCAGAGTTTGTATAAGATTTCCCAACATCTCTGAGTTGTCTCTAATAGTGGTTTATAACTCGCGTGAGGAGAATTAGTGAATGACATTTACGACTGAAGCAATGACAAAAGACAACGAGGACATCAGAACACATGAAGGTCGTTCCACCTAAAGTCACCATATTCACGCCTGACCATCCTCGATTTCACCGATTCTTTTTTAAAATGTTGAATATTGATTGAGTTGATCGTCTGTAAACTCTGGGCTCATGGGTAGTTCACGGGATAAAGATTGCTAATGAAGGCGTCCAGTGTCTTCCACCAGTCTGTGGATCTGTGTTTGAAGCGCCGTAGGTTGAGAAATAATGCAGCTGGAGTCCTGAAATTTTGCAGGTTTGTTGACATGTAGGTCTGGTCTTCAATAGTAAAACCCTGCTTTGATGGAATAACACAGACCAGTTATATGTTGGGGCAAATTTGGTCAAAAAATGTTGTTTTTCTACTATGATATTCCACCAACTATAAAACCTTGATTTCTCACCCTGGGAGGCTGAATGCATACAATTTAATTTCAATATTTTTTTCCCCTCTGACTGACGCCGTACTCTACATTTAAAGCTCCTGTTGGTGCCAATCACAGGGAAAAGTCAGGAAAGTGGGGGGAGAAGAATGGTGGACGGACCTGCAGCAAAGGCTCATGAGCCGGACTCAAACCCATGACCGCTGTAGCCCCTATACATGGGACACCGGCTCAACCAGGTGAGCTATAGCGGCGCCCCAACATGGACATTTTTTTGACCAAATCTGCCCCAACATATGACTGGTTTGTGTTATTCTCTGACAGCAGGGTTGTACCATTAAAGACCAGATGTACACATCAATGAGCCTATAACATTTCAGGACTCTAACGACATTGTTTCTGAAGTTATGACGCTTTAAACGTTGATCCATTGAAGAAAACAACACACAAATCGACGTGATCTCTCCTGCTTAACTCAGAAACTATCAGCCCAGGTTTTCCACATGGTCAAAGAAATCGGTCAGACTGAAGACGATCAGGTTTTGGGGCATTCGGTGAACTGAGGCCATAAAAAAACAAGTGCGTGCCAGAGTGTGTGTTTGAAAGTGCAGTTGACACACGGTGCAGACTGAACCTCACCTAGATTTACTCCCAACAAAGTGCAAAGGTGGCGCCAGCCTCCCTACAAAACCCTCCTCCGTCTGCAGAGGCACCTTTCGCTGGACTGAGGTCGGACGGACAGCAGGCAGAGGACACCATGGCATCAGATCAGGTAACCACTCACCAAACTCTGCAAACGAGTAGTTTTTAAAATAACAACTTAACTGTGAGAACTAACTTTGCTGAGAGCGGGAGGTTAAACTGAGTGGTTCAGATTTTAGGGGTCAGTGACCACGAGGTCAAAGCAGGATGTGCAGAACTGCAACGTCAAACCTCATACATGTCTGTTAATACTGATTTAGGCTGATATTCCTCATCCTCATATTGTAGTCAAATGTATTGTCTCTGCACCGAGTGCAAAGATAATTAAAGGCAGTTTAACTAGAAATGCAAAAGAAGCAGCAAAAGTGAAGTGCAAAATGTAAAGTAGAACAGTTTTAACAGCTGAAATATAGATATATGCAGGAAAAGCAGTATTAACAGTGCATGTAAGTTATAGAAGATATATGAATATTATAGATGTACAAGTACACACAGTACGGGATACACAGTATGATTCAGTGTTAGCAAAATAAACTTGCTATAGTATTAGTAGAATAAGCTGCAGGTAATATAAACCGCACAAAGAAGAATAACAACATAAAGACAGACAGATGTAAATCTAAAAGTAAAATAGTGATTCATGAACAGTGTGGTGTGAAGTAATGGTGTAAATTTGTGTTATATTACTATCTTAGGATAGATCTCAGGGATGATTTATTATTGTAATGTGGAAAATAACATTCAAACAACCAACCAGAGCGAGCAGAGTCACAGTTAACTGCAAAATGACCAAAGAAGGAACTTTAAAGGGAAGAGAATAAAATAAAAATAAAGCCAAATTGGGTAAATGCACAGTTTAGAATACGGTGAACTGCATTAACGGTTGTGCTCTTTTGTACGCGCAGAACGTGGAGTTTGTGCGAACCGGCTACGGCAAGAACTCGGTGAAGGTTCTGTTCATCAGGAGACAGAGGAGCCACCACGACATCATCGAGCTGAAGGCCGACGTGGAGCTCACGCTGAAGACACGCAAGGACTATCTGACCGGAGACAACTCGGACATCATCCCCACCGACACCATCAAGAACACCGTCCACGCTCTGGCCAAAATCAGAGGCGTGAGTTACGACAGCACAAACGCTCTCTGAGGCCACCGCATGCCTCACCCTGCTTCTAGTAGTTTAGTCCATATTAATCCAGTTAAATAAATATACATATAGATACACACACAAACAAAACAAATGGTAATCTACAGTATAAAAACTGCAAAAACTGCAAACTTTGTCCCATGAATAATAATCGGACAAGTAATTAAGTATGTGACAGTTTAAAAAAAATAAAAAAAACTGAACATTTTCTGTATTTTAGTTGTAAATTTAGTATTTTTTTTATAAGGGGGTTGTGTATACACAAAAAAAAGGAAATTGTCTGTGATTTAATGATAACGCTATTGGATAAAAAGAAATGCAAACGTAAAATAAATCCATAAAATAATAGAAACAGCATTTTTTAAGACTTGTCTCATAATTAATAAATGGAAAATTTCAATTAACCGTTAAAAAATATATATATATTTTCTATACTTTAAACATAAAGCTATCATCTAAAATATAGCTTATCTACAGTGACAAATACGACACGAGCGTTATTTAATGGTAAAGCTACAGTGAAAAAAATTTAAATGAATCTATAAAATAAGAAAAAGTAATGGCAACTCATATTTCAGACTTTGTCACATAATTAACAAATGGAAATTTTCCACTAAATAACAGTAAAACAAACAAACAAAAAAAAAACAAACAAAAAGAAAAAAACTGAAAAAAAGACATTTTCTACCTTTTAATGGTAAATCTATAATTTTAAAAAACAGTGTCTCTACAGTGATAATCTCCTGGTACATGTAGAGGCAGCTCATAACTCAAAATATGTCCCACAACTAATAAACAGAAACTTTTTTGTTATTTTGGCCGCAGTAAATCAAAAATGTTCTGCATTTTAAAGTGTAACAAAAAAAAAAGCATTTTGATATATTTAGTGGTCTATCTATGTCTGTCTATACTGGCAGCTCAACATACAGACTTTGTTGTACAATTTTTTAAAAATTGAATTTTTCTGTTAAGTTTTCGTTTAATTCATGGTTCACCTCCTGCAAATGAAAATAAACCATTTTTGTCAGCATTAAACCTACAGCAATAAAAACAAATGTAACTTTTCTGTAGGTTAAGGATGTACCTACAGTGATAAAACTTTTGTTTGATATCTTTATCTAATCTATTACTGAACAATTCCAAAAGGAATTTTTGTTAATATTCTTATTCCAACATCACGATCAGTTAGCCTCCGTCAGCTCTGCAGGTGATCGAGTTGTTATGAACTGCACGAGAAAAAGGGCAGCAAAAAAAAAACAACAAAAAAGAGAAGTCCAGATGTTGTTGATGAAATTGCACAGATGCCTGAGTTGCTTATTTATAAAAAAAAGTTATTCAGGATAATAAAATGCAATAAAAGGCTAAACCCCGGTTACAGATTTCCAAAATCAGCATCAGTATCTCAGGTTGGTTCTACAGTTTGACACTTTCTGAAGCAGCTTGAGCTCTGAAACAGGAGAAGACAAATAAATAAATATTCAAAAAAGATTTGTGACCTAAAAGTAAATATCTACAATGATATTTAAACAGCATTGTTTTAAACAAGGAGAAAATAGGAGAATAAATATGCAAATGATGATGCTACGCTAATAGTTTGATTCTTACGTTAAATTACGTGGGTGAAAATATGCAACGTTAGTGATGCTAATGTTGTTAGAGCTGAAAACTGTGTAACTGAGGTGTTGATGTGAAGTAAGAAAACTGTGAGGAGCCACTTTTGTTTCTCGGATTAGCATATTAGCTCTATTTACCTGCAGGGGACGAAACTCTGTCATTTGGCTTTAATGGACCAGAAATCTGAGCTAAATACAGATTCAGCAGCTCGGATGGAAACATGCAGCACCGTGCTTTTCAAGGGTTCACTCCTGCACATTGAATTAATTAGATTTAGATTTTCAAAGTGGTCTGAAGTACATTCACGGCTTCAGTGGAGGTCGATTGAAAACATGTTTGTTGTAGCTTCATTCACTCAAACTGCTGAGATGTTGTTACTGATAAAATCATTACTGGCTCTTATCACTCAGGTGTTTTTTGATCTGTTCAGGTAAAGACCATTGAGCAGTTTTCTCTGGATATTTGTCATCATTTCCTCACCTCCTTCAACCATGTGCTGAGGGCCAAAGTGCACATGGAGGAGGCTCCGTGGAGGAGGCTGGAGAAGGTAAATACGCATCGAACTCGACTTTTAGACGGCAGACATCAACCAATCCAAACAGCGCTTTAAAAACCACTGTTTGTTTCTCAGAATGGAGCAGGGCACGCTCACGCTTTCATCTTCAGCCCAGAGGTTTGTCGCTTCTGTGACGTCGAACAGAATCTCCATGGTAAGTACAACCACACACACAAGTACATGCATGTCCGCACAAAAAGATATCTGGTTGCATGTTTAGGAAATAAAAATCTCCTGGGAAAAGGTTCAAAAACTGTATTCCAAGCATGTTTGCCTAAAGGTCCCCTGTGGTGAAAATCTAACCCTAACCCTTCCTGAAGGCGGCACAACAGCCGCATCTCCAACAGAAGCATCTCATTGGTTTCCAGAGCAGAAAAACCAGAGAGCTGCTGAACGAAACAAGTTTGACACAGTCAGCTCGACAAAAACTAAAGTTCCAGTCAGAGAACATAGGCATCATAAAGGTGGTTATCAACGTTATCTGTTAACTCAGACTTTCTGCTCCTGTGTCCACATAAATGGAAGCGCGTCATGTGACAAAATAAAATGACGGCGTGCCACCTAGTTTAGTCGACAGGTTGTTTTAACAGAGAACAATGAGGAAAATAAATAATTGTGACGCTAAAAGGTGCTGCTAGTGATGCAGGAGAGGAATGCAGGTAGAAGTCGTGTGTACATACATTTATTTTTGGATCAGTGCAGCCGCTTATTTATAACAAACAGCTGCACATTAAAGTCATACTTAATTTACTTATTGTATTGAAGCACATGTATGTCTGACACTGTCCCATAATGCAGGATTTTCATTTTTGACCAAATCAAAGTGAAATTAATGCGACTGATTGAATATTCTCTGCAATAACTAACAGTAGAATAATCATAAAAAATGTTCTAATCTGTGTCCTATCAGCTGCAATCACATAAATCTGTTTTTGTTTTTTTGTTTTTTTTACGTTTGGTCGGTTTACGCTGCTCTAAACCGACCAAACGTAAAAAAACAAACCCAAAACATATTTATGTGATTTCTGCAACACCAGCTGAATGCAGGTCGGTTCCCATGACAACACGATGCGTACAGTGCTGTAAATGCACGAGTTCATTCAGTGGTTTCAGTAACGTACAGATCAACAGGTTTCCAGACAAAACACATTCCCCCAGCTGAGAATCTGTATTTGATTAAATGGAGACGCTTCTTCCAGCCGATTTAAATCTGACACTCTGAACAGAACCTGCTGTGAGCTCCACAACATCAGTTACCATGGAGATCTCGCCAAGTTAAAGGAGAGTTGAAACCATGACTTTAGGCTCAACATGCCTGCTAACTCGCTAACCTCGCTTTGCAGTACAGCCCTCTGAATTTATAAGCAGAGGAGGCCCCATACCTGAGCCTTGTGGGACGCCTTTTGCAACTTTCACTGATTCTGACTAAACATTTTTGACACTTGCTGACTTCCTACGAGCTAACTCACATTTTCAAGAAAATCAATACCTTGGATTTCCTGTGAATATGTTTATAATGACTTCTACTTACTCACCGACTTTGTTCCCATCTCAGGCGTCCCGGTGCTCCACAGTGGGATTCGGGACATGAAGGTGCTGAAAACCACCCAGTCCGGGTTTGAGGGTTTCCTCCGAGACCGCTTCACCACTCTGCAGGAAACCAAGGACAGGTGTTTCTGCACCTCCGTCTACGCTAGGTGGCGCTACAACAAGACCGACGTTGACTTCGACGCCGCATGGTAATTATCTGTGAGGGAGAACACTGCTTTCTCTAAAACAACGGAGCTCACCAAAGTGCAACCAACAGGAAACTCTTTGTTTTACATGGATGACAAACATCCTGACAGTGAAATGACACTCTTGCCTTTCTAATAATCATCCCTTGCAGGAAGTGTGTGAAGGAGACAATCATTGAGAAGTTTGCCGGCCCGTATGATCGCGGAGAGTTCTCCCCGTCTGTGCAGAAGACCCTTTACGACACCCAGGTTCTGGTTCTGGGTAGACTTCCTGAGGTGGGCCCTTTACACCACCAAACCAACACGCTCACAAACATTTGTGGCTACTTACGATGTTTGAGAGATCTCACAATTCTAACATGTTCTATACATTTAAAAGAAGAACATCAGAATCAGCTTTATCATGTGTATGGTCCCTACATGGCCGAGCAACACATTTCCTCTGATATGAATACAAATGTTTGAATAACACGTGGTTTTGTCTACTAGGTGGATGAAATAGAGATCGTCATGCCCAACCAGCATTACTTCACCATAGACATGACGAAAATGGGGCTCAGCAACAAAGATGAAGTAAGTTCTGTTATTACAGGGTCAGTCTGTATAAAAAAGATTCCCAACTGACTCCCTCAGAATCCGACTCTATTACATTCTAAAAAGTGCAAATTTATTCCGTTATCGGCTGCTATGACTTCATTGGCTTCTACAGCACTGATTGAATTTCCATGAAACAATCCTACAACAAGTTTTTCAGTAATTTAGTCATAAAATTATTAATCACTGACATACCTTCTCCCTCATAGGTCCTTCTTCCCCTGGATAACCCTTCAGGGAACATCACAGGGACGCTCGGCAGGAAGCAGCGAGCCCGACTGTGAAGACGCCGAAATATCCAGAAAATGCTGCTGCTGCCGTGACCTAAACATCGACGTGAACAAGCTGCTCAACAGAAGAGTCCGTCTGACATCACGTGGTGCTGAAAACATCACAATGCAACTCAAGATTTACCGACTGACACTGTCGACTGCGTGACTTGTAACCGTCAATAAATTGACAAACTAACGTTGTTCTTTGGTGAGAAAAGAGCACCATTTATTGCAAATCTCTGATTCTGATATTCAAACTCCAGTGTTAAGTTGCACATTTACATTGGTCATACACACTTCAGTACAGTTGTCTGCGCGACAATGCTGAAAGCACCACAGGTAGGTACATAATAAGAATATATATACACATAAATATTTTCATATCAAGAGCCTCGAGCCTACACAATGAAGGTGTGCGAGACTGAGGAGGCTTGTGTTTGGGTCCTTGTGTCTGGAAAAACAAAACGCTTCATGCTAAGGACGACTCGTGGACTCAGATGCGCAGTATCGAACATAAAAACTGATTTCAGGGCAAAATGGGATGCGTCAGAATAATTTTCCGCAGGTATCAAAGTGTCCAGGTACAACAGAACATACACGGTTGTCAACTATATATCATCTTATATACAAATACTTGTTTTGTTTTTTTAAACCATCACAGGTTAATTCACTTTGCACGCACACATACACCACACACACGCACACAAATATCATACCTGCCGAGTATTCTCCCCCCCAAATTTCCTTCTTTTAAATAAAACACACAAATAATAATATTAATAATAATAATAATATCTCAAGCAGCAGAAATAAGAATGGCTGAAAGGGTAAACAGCTGAGTGGACGCCATGTGCAACCCATTTTTGGGGTCCACGCTTATAAAAACATACAGCATTTCAAATCCTGTTAAGGTGCCGCGGCGGGCAGAGGAGTCTCTGTGAAGCTAACCTGGAGCTCTCCTGACACCATGATTGTCGCTGAGGTGGGACGCCGGGACGAACCGCGCTGCTACGAGGCGTTGCTCTTCAGGTGTTGAGTCTGCAGCGGCTTCACGTGGTACTCGTAGATCTTCAGGGCCGGGCCGAGCTTTATCGACAGCCCCGTCAGGACGTCGTTACGCGTCATCAGGAGCAGAGACTTGCCATCGATCTCCTGTGAGGAGGAGAGAGGAGTCGGGGGGAAAACGTCAGTCAGCGCGTCCCACCTCAGTCAGAACCAGCTTCATTCTCGCGCAGAATAGCTTTAATAAATTCATGCAAGATTTTTATCTTCATGTTTTGTATGTTTTTCAAGTCACAGGCCCTTGAAGTACATAAGTGTGCGTCGACATTTTGTGCTTTTTAGTTCTCATTATAGAAAAAATCTGAACAAAAAACAAGATTTTAGCTTCAGATCATGACACCTGGACTTGATATTTTGACTTGCTTTAACCAACCACCTATCCCACGTGGCAATATCCATCCATTATCTCTACACCTTAATCCTCACTAGGGTCATGGGGGGCTGGAGTCTATCCCAGCTGACTCAGGGTGAAGGCAGGTTCACCTGGACAGGTAACCAGTCTATCACAGGGCTACACTTAGAGACAGACAACCAAGCACACTCACATTCACACCTACAGACAATTTAGAATCACCAATTAACCTCAACATGTTTCTGGACTGTGGGAGGAAGCCTGAGAACCCGGAGCTGCACGGCGAGAACATGAAGATACCACGCAGAAAGATCCTGGGTGTCCTCACCGGGAACCTTCTGGCTGTGAGGCAACAGTGCTAACCACCGAGCCACCTTGCAGCCCCACGTGGCAATATGTTTACCCAAAATGCACTTTTTAAAGTGGCGGGCTGAAGTTTTATGCTTTTTAATCCTCATTCCTTTTCATTTCTGAGCCTCATGATTTAATAAGTACAGTGAAAGACACTGAAAAACACACTTAAAAACTGCAACCGCATCCTGTCTACAGATGGTCCTGGTATGCTCTGTAGGTAAAAATGATCCCTCCATTGTCTAGAACTTGTTCTGACCAACCACCATCACACACGCTGATATGAGCCTGGAAAGTTTACCCAGAATGCACTTTTTAAAGTTTTCTCTGGTGAATGATCAGAAACCGGAAACACATCCAGGGTACCAATGATTGTTTCTCTGACTTCATACAGAGCGACTCCAATACTTGGAATCATAGTTCATCAGTTTTATGTCATTTTTTCTGTTATTTTGAGCGGGAGCAAGAAACCGACCTGATCCTGGAAAGCCGTCGCTTGTTCCTCGAACCCCGTCGCTTTGAAATAGTTGACGACGTCCGCGACCCCCCAGTTGGAAGGATCCGGCAGCTGACCGTTCTCCACTGGACTGTGTGGTCAGAACCAATCAAATCACCTCAACGTACACCTCAATGAACTGCAACAGCAAGTTACTTTAAATCTTTCACTAAACAACGTCTACACTAATTACAGGACATACTGTACCTTTTGGTGTCAACAGAGCCATTCGCTTTGTCTTCCATGCCGGCTGTGGAGAAATTAAAATGATGAAGGTGTTGTGTTATTTTCTAGTTTTCTGACTCATTGTATGATCAGCTGCTATACAAAATAACCCTTGTGAATAAAATTGCATGCCATTCTTGTCTTCTCATCTAATCTTATTCTCAAATCTGTAGCGATTAAACAATTATTCTGTTATGGCAGTCACAACAACTTATTGATTCAAGGTTTACAATTGCTGGTTTCTGCTCTAAACAACAGGAAAAAAACTGTTTTTAAAAATATTTTCTCAACACATGGCCTTAAGTAGCATCAACAACAGGTCAAATATTGTTCTATGGACTTTACATGACATACGCTGTATGTTCATAGAAGTCCAAATTCACTTTGACTCGTTTACACATTTGATAGTTTAAAGTTAAGTTTATATCGTGATTCTACTAATGATTATTATCAGTAGTGATTAATTTGCTGATTAATCTTTAAGGTAATCTATTAATTATATTACTTCTTGTTTTATCTGTCCGGGAGTCAAAAGATTGCAAATAAGTAGATTTAAAAGTCTGGAAAGATTAAAATTCTGACATTTCTGCTCTATTTTTAATAGACATGTGTCCTAGTTTTCTGTCTGCACTAGTTTTACACACACTCACCTGTAATTTATTTTTACATAAATAAAAGATAACCCATATTTGCATCTTTTACATGATGTCCATTTAAGTTTTGAGCTGTTAAGTAGGTTTGAAAAGGCGATCGGTACCTAAAACAAATGACGGCCATGTTTTTACAGTTTTAGCTGTTAGACGGCCATTTTTAGAACCTTTTATCTCTTGTCTAATGTTTTGTAATTGCTATTTTTCACGTTTCACCGTCTTTACTATTGTTTTATTGCCTTCTTTTAATGGCTTTTGCTGTTGCTTTCTAACGCTTCATAGATTTTCTTGTTTTTTTCGTCACCTCAGACAGGTGAGCCGTCGCACACGGAGTCACGGTACCGTTTGTTCCACAGTCGAATCCTGAGCTGGATTTTATTTTCCTGTAAACATCTGATCCGTTCACTGAAGTCAGAATATTTTTTGCGTATTTTTTTAAATGACACTTTGCAATTTCACAGCAGGATATTTGCAGCAGTGATATTTTTGTGAGCGTCACTCAAGCAAAAAATATGTTGTCACTTAACATCAGGAACAATAAAAACACATTATATTGAACCATAACTGGCTGTAATGTGATTAATTATCATCACATGTGGGCAGAATTTTCTAAATAAATCATAAATAAACTGAAAGTTTGCACCACACTCCACACAGGACTTTTCTACTTGACATATTACACTTATTGTACATTTTGCATTTTATATTCCTTATTTTTTATTTATCTGTATTTATGGTGGTGGTTTTAACTTTATCTTTGTGCTGTAACAACCAAACTTTCCCCTTGGGGATTAATAAAGTATTTCTATTCTATTCTATTATGGGAGAATTTTTTTTCTTTTAAATACTCTGCAGCATCTCTTCCTACTTTTAACCGGTGGTGATGCAAATAACTAAAACTGTGCCTGTGTTAGATAGCGATTTCTTACTTCTTTGTTTTCAGCTGCCCTTTTACATCAGAACAAAATAATGAAATTCCTGAAATTAAGTTCTTGTTTTTGGCTTTTGTGCACCACGTCAAGATTTTCTGTGACCCCACAGGGCCCCTTGATGAAACATTTGTTGAGGCTTTTAACTCAAGTTTTGAAAGGTGCCATAAAAATAAAGATTATTATTATTATCATCATTATTATTATTATTATTAATAGTCAAATTCTATGGCTCCCCAAAAACCTCCATCATCAGCAACTAAAAACAGATCTTTCACACAGAAATCCTGCAGTAATCTGACTGTTAAGTGCTTAAAGTTTTCAGCCCTGGTTTAGATCAAAGGAGACTTTTACAATCTGTAACGTTGCAGTAATTTTTCATCAGATGTCTTCTCGAAGAGGAACTCAGTGTGTTGGCAGTTCAGAATCCATCCCTGTTGATCTCTGTGGCGTTCGCTGCACGTCTCTGCTGCAAAAACCACACACATCGCGCAGCCATTAGAACGAGCGAAAGACAACATGCACAGCCCGGAACGGAACCGAACAGAACCCGCCGCTGTCAGTACGTGACAAAATGACGACCTTAAAACTCACGTTGTTAGCCAAAATAAATACAGAATATCGTTACAAACGTGAGCCTGCGCTGCCACGTTTGCTAATAAAGTGAAAAACAGCGCATTAACGAGGTGGAAAATGGAAATAACGTGAGGCTAAGCGAGGACTGATATTTATTCGCTGCCGCTTCGTATCTTATATTGACGCTAAGCTAGCAGGCGGAGTTAGCTCGGCGTGCTAATACCAAATATAACAGTTACCTTATTTCAGAAGATTCCTGCTTGACAAGAGTCGCTCCGCCGACCTGTGAACGGAGGTTAAAGAGTAAAAACTTTCCTAATCACTGCTGTATTTCATTAATGAATAAACGACGGCGTTCGTTTGATAAAATCAGGATTTAATCAAGTAAAGCCAACTAGCTTCTGTTCATCGGCTTCGCTTCCTTCGCCCACATGACAGCAAGGACTCATGGGAAGTGTAGTCTTTTATCCCCGGCGTTTGTAGTTCAGCAAGTTTTAATGATACAAAGACTGTTTTGTTTTGTTTTTTTTTCCTTTTTTTTTAATAAAAAGAATTTATTATAGTGACATATCATTTGTTACATAAAATTTGCTACAGCAAAGTATATTCCCCTTGCAAACACAGGTAAATATGGGTGGGAAAAAACGTGTCAGCCTTCTAAATGATGTGCAAAAAAAAAAATAATAAAAAAAATTATAATAATAAAATAAACTCACAAACTAAATACAGACACATTTCAGATTATTGATCCCATTACTGGCGTGTGTGACGAGGGGAAAGTGCCATCATTTACATCAAATCTGACAAACGTTATTACACACATGGTGGGGAGAAATGGTACATAAGAAGAGCTGTTTTCTGGGAAGATTTTACACACAGGCAGTTTGGACTGAAACATGCTAAATTCCCAGGTGTAGTCGTCAAAATCCCCCCCTCCCCCCCCAAAATACAAACAAACAAACAAACAAACAAAAAAACATGGTGGATTTTGCAGTTACATTCTCTTCACCCTACAAACTGGGAAAATATTGTTGGATCCCATTTGATAAAGATGATTTAATTAAAAATGAAAACATAAATGGTAAAGAAAAGGACATTTTAAATAAAAGGTCACAATTTTAAATAGGCATTAGAGGCGTCAATGTGCATTAACTGTGGTAAATATGTTTATTTCTATAAATGTTTTATTCGTATATGGGCAAATGAAGAAAAAAAAAAGTTGTACAAATAAATAATCCGATATATTCACTGTTTATAACACTTTTGCAAATAAAACATTTGGAGTCTCTTTATATATATATATATGTTGAGAGCTACGCAGGTTTAAACATGTTATTTTATTAGACGTCTCTAAATATAAATAAAATCGCATAAGAAACAGTTGTGCCTTTGAAATGAAATCAGGGCTAAAAAAAAAAAAAAAAAATGCATCATGTGCTCAGTCAATGAAAAAGAAATGATAGCCAATATCCATATACAGTACATCAGTACCTAAAAAATAGCATTCAGTCCCCAAGACTTTTTTTTTCACATTTGGTTGTCTACGATTGTTGTTGAACTTTGATTAAGTTGCATTTTCCTCACACACAAAGACTCGAGCATCATGTTAAATAATGATCAAAACCTCTGAAGACTGTCAACAGTGCATTTTTGTTTGTCTGATGTGAAATGTAAAACTTTGATTTCCAACCCGCAGAAATGACCTCAAACTCTGCGCCACAGTAAAGGAACGAAAGGTTCACGAAAGCTGAACTTCTACTGACACCTGGAAGAAAAGGAAAGTCGACATGTGGACACGGCGGCCTCGTGGGCGTTGGACACACGGGTTCTTTAGACACAACATGTCAACCTGGACGGGAGTTTTGTAGAAGCGGGAACGACAATTTCAGCAGAATTAATGGAACATGAACGGTGCCCAGAATAAAAAAAAAAAAAAAAGAATCCCTCATAAATCCTACATTTTTCTGACCGGAGAAAATATGTAATAAATATGCATAGACAATAACTTAACAGGTGTGGCTTACACTGGGGAAAAACATAACAGATGTTCTTCAAAAAGTTTCAACTTCTTTCCTTTGAAAATCCTTATTCATGTCCATTCACGTTCTCTCTGAGCAATTTTGCAAAGAAGAATGAGTAAATATTGTTCCATCACAGTGTGCAAGTTGGTTAGAAAATGATGCAAAGAGACTAGAAGCTGTAGCTGCGGTAAAAGCAGGTGGGTCAACCAAGTCGTGACCAAGATGAATGAATACTTTAAGGTTATGATATTTCAGTTTGCTGCTATTGTTACTGTTTAAATGGTTTGCTCGTATGGGATTATGTCGCTGAGACTTAAACTCCTTATCTACTGCGTCGACGTCCCAGCCTACGTGAAGGTAACAGACAAAAACGAGAGACGGGGGGGGAACACCCGTCGGGCGCTGTGAGCTCGGTGTGACGCTGCTGTACAAACGTAACGGACATGCAAAAGTAAAAATGAAACAAATATGGCAGTTACACAACGTCTTCTGAGTGCTCTGCTCAAACACAGCAGGTTAAGAAAAAAAAAAACAAAATCAAAAAGCAGCGCAAACTGACAAAGTGTGTCCATGTGACCAACACTGCTTCACACTCGTGATATACCTTCAAAAAAGTCTAACAAACTGACCTTTCAGCTACTGGAAAATGCCATGTTGATGCACTGGTACATACATGTCTATATATACATGTATATATAAGTACCAAACACATGATCAGTTGTGTGCAGTGACAAACTTGCTCAGTTTCCTTCTTTGTGTAACAGAGTTGTACCTGAAAATATATATATCATTTCATTCCATTAATTTAATACCACACCAAGACTGAGGTAAAAAGGAAAACGTCCTGTGACCGGATATGAAAAAAAAAAGACAATGCTACAACTGATCAGCTAACACAGCACTGACAAGTTTCTGCTTCGTAAAAACATCGCTTGTCTCGATTAATTCTTTGCTTCGAGAAACGCCAGAGCGCAAAAACTGCAAGGAGTCATCTGCGTTTCTTCTCCTTCGCTCAACGCCGGTTTCTTTGTCGAATTTTGGTCATGCTTTAACGAAACATTTAAAATCTCATATATGTATATGTCTATATGCACAAATACACGGTCCTGGGTCTTAAGGACGCCAGGATGATGAATATGTTTAAGTGTTCATGATTAATGAAGAATAAACTGAACCCTAAAAGACACTCAGGCATGTAACAGATGACGGATAACTGGCAATGTTTGGAATTAAAAAAAAAAAAAAGTTAAAAATCCCTTCAATTTCCCAAAGCCTAAATCAAAGCATGTGCAACACCAGCTAGTAAATCAATCACCCTTTGTGCTGCTTGAAAATGGGAGTAATATTAGCTTTCATGTTGCTTTTCAAATAAGAACTTACATAGAACGGGAGAGAGAGAGAGAACACTGAGAACACAGACAACAGAAGGACAAACGATGAGAACGTGGTCTAGTACTTTGTGTTGCAGCACGAGGGGTGTCTGCATAATGTGCCTGTGTATAGATTAGTGCTAACTGCACGCAGGATCATGGCAAAAAGGACCTGTTTCAGCTGTGTGGAATGAAGGAACGAGGCCTTGGTTTGGAGCTCGTGATGGCCTCGGTTCCACCTAAACCTCCGACAGAGTGCAAATATCCCGAAACACGGCAGCCCTGACGGGACTCCTGCCCGTTCACTAGAACTCTGCAAACTCTTTCGCACACTTTTCCGTTTGCGAGACACGAATGTCCTCTTCTTCATAGTCATCGAAGTTGCTTGTGTCTCCTGGTCCTCTGCACTTTGGCAAGAAGGGGGCTTCGACCTGAGGACGCAGAAGGCGAGATGTGGTTTACTGTGCAGATCAGGAAGCAGCTGACGGACTGCGAGAGCTGCGTCGCATCGTGCTGCAGGATGTTAAGAAAAGAAAAGAAACAGATGTACCTTTCGCTCATAGATGGCGATCCAGTCCGTTGTGGAGAACCACTTGTGATTCTTTATGTCATTCACGCCGTTCTTCAGGTTGCCGAATCTCTTTGTCAGGTCGACCTGGAGCAGGTTCCTCAACAGATCCTTCAGGTCGGAGCTAAAGTGAGAGGGGAATCGTACCTGCAAGATTGAACGAACAATAAATAAATACAATTCTTGGTTATCAAACACAAATCAAAGAAAATACTTGTGTTTTTCCACTTTGTTTCCTTTAGTTTTTAGCAGCTGAGAGCAGTAAAGAACCGCCGAGGAACCGATATCAAGCTGTGGCTGCCGGCAAGTATGTATCTGCAAAAACTTCCCACCTCGCCCCCTCAGAATCAGCAGGTTTTTAATGTACATTTAATGAATTCAAGCTAAATTGTACCTACCTATTATAAATATATTTTCAGAGATACAGGCGATAAAAGTACAATGAGGTGGGTTGTGCTTTTTAATTTGTGCTACTTTCCCATCGTTTCTGAGCCTCATAACTTTCATCAGTACAGCAGATAGACACGTGACATTTTCAGGGATAAAAAGCACATTTTAACTCTGATAAAAACGGCAACCAAATCAATTTTACATCCACTCCACGTGTCATAATCTAAACACTAAACATGGTTTTTGTTGAGCACCGTTTTTCCTATAACCAACTTTGAGCATCTTCCCTTTGTGCATGATGTACACGTGCATAGTTCTCTCTCACTGACTTTCTCATCAGATTTTAAACATATATTTAAAAACGCAGAAGTAACCATGGGTCGAAGAGGAACCTGGTATCAAAGCACCTACACCACAGGGTGATATGACCCTTGAAAGTTTCCCCAAAATTCTTTTTTTTAAGTTTTCTAGGTGGGAGGCATTTAAATATTCTAATATTTAAACTTGGCCCTTTGCATACCTTGCCCGACACGATCTTTTCATAGATCTGGATTGGCTGATCAGCGAAAAAGGGAGGGTAACCCGCAGCCATCTCATAGATGAGAACTCCAAGTGCCCACCAGTCCACAGCTTTGTTGTAGCCCTGGAAGAAAGAAAAAGGTAAAAATTCACCAGTTTTCAAAGGCTTGCCGTGGTTGGCTGTTTGACCTCAAGCACCAGAGACAACAGTCAGCAGCAGTAGTTAGAAGGCGTCAAGACCAATGAGACGTACACATATAAAAGGTCAGTGGAGTGTTGTTGTGATTGCTCTGTACTACAGAACAACACGTTTTAATAAAATAATGACACTAAAGCTCGGAATCTTTTCATCTGTGGACTCTATTTCTACTTATAAATATTGTTCAGTTCACTTTATGACTCACTGACACCAGCAGACATTTGGTTTGTTCCCTGGTGAAGCACTTCCTGGTTAAAGGCTTTTTACTTCAAGTCTTGTGTTTTGTTTTGTGAAACATTTAATCAGCTGGACTGAGGTCAGGTAACTAACTTAACCGGTCAAAGAAAATCCGCTGTCTGTCAACAAAACCTGCTTGTTTTCCTTCTTTAATCACTGTTTGCTTTGTCCATGCTTAAATCAATGTGTAAATGAATCTGAAAGTCAGCGCTTACACCTTATCATCACTGGTCCGTTTAATATTCAGTCTGCTGAACCAAATCAATGACACACATGTAACTGCCCCGACACCTTCCAGTCGTACTGCAGTGGCCTGTGCTGGGTCTGAAGGCCTCACCTTGCTGAGGATGATCTCTGGAGCCAAGTACTCTGGAGTTCCACACAACGTCCAGGTTCGGCCTTTTACTCTTTTGGCAAAGCCAAAGTCTGTGACCTGCAGAAAGAACAACAGAAGTGAGATAAGAACAGTAAGCACACGAGAGCGAAGTTGACACGTGCAGTGATGAACCTCTAAACTAATGACATTCGCAGAAGCCTACATCTGTTTTTAAAATCAAGTTAAAAAAATGGAACTTTCATTTATTTTGCTGACTCATTCAGTTTTCTTGTGCTGTTTTTCTGTCTCCCTGATATCTGGAGGCTCCACACATTTGCTCGTGGTTGTATTATCACATGAGTAGCATTTACTGTAAGATTATTCTACTTCTCTCGGACAAACTTTACACCAATCGGGTACCTGGATGTATCCATGCTGATCTATGAGCAGGTTTTCAGGCTTCAGGTCTCTGTAGATGAGGTCTAAGGAGTGAAGGTACTCGAAGGTGAGTACGATCTGAGCTGCATAAAATCGTGCATGGTGTTCACTGAAAGAGGGGGAAAGGTTAGTCAGACACTTTGAATACGGTACAAACCATTGACTGTGCAGCCAACTTAAACTGGTGCCTGCTGCCAGAAAACACCAAATGAAGCAGGACCTGTTTGTCCAGCTTTGCATGGGCACAGCAGCCAACAAAGTCACACAGAAGATAATACGAACTACGTGAACAGTACCTGAACCTTCCGGTGCGTCTGAGGTGCGAGAACATTTCCCCACCGGGCACATACTCCATCACCATGTAGAGGTTTGAGTTGTCCTGGTGATTAAAGGAACAAACTCTCAGTTATGGTTATTCTAACCTACTCGAGAAGGACACTAAAAATACATTATGGGTACGTTGACTCTGTTGAGGATCTCTTTTGTTTATTTGAAATTAAACAGTGAAGGAAACAAAAAACACTATTTTAAAAACTTATTTTCAAGAGTATTCCAAAGTGCCTGATTGACTGTAATCCATATTCTAGCAGTGACGGCGTCCAAACTGTTAATAAGAAAAGACAGAGCTGTTTACTCTCACGTATAAAATAATTAAAATGTCCATTAAGAAAATTGCAATTAACTTGAGCTAACCACTGAAGCCAGTGGTGTAGTTTCAGCTTTAAACACTGCTTTTCTCTCTTACGACCAACACTGAGGCCATCTTTTAAAAAAAAAAAAATTACAAATTTTGAATTGTCAGTAAAGGCGACTGGATTCTTGGTGTGAGATCCACATGGCGGCCTCACACATAAAGAGCATTCGTTTAAGGCTGATTAAACCTTAAACTAAACGTGTAGTGTGAGTAAATACGTCGTAAAACTGGCACAGCGTTGGTCGAGCTTTCGACACTAACCCTCCTAACATAATGTAGTTGATCTCTACGGAGAAATAAATAGATTTCTGACAGTCATTTCTTTCAAACTGAATGACAGTTCAGGGTGAATATACGTACTGTTGTAACCACAGTGTGTCTCGTACCTTGAAGGCGTACTCCAATCTGACGAGGAAGGGAAAGGAGACGGCCTGTAGTATTCTCTTTTCGTTTAGTGTGTGTTCTATCTGCTTCAACTTCACCACCTATTAAAAAGAAAATTAAAAAAACAAAGCAAAAAGATAGAAAAATGAGGATATTTTGTACAAAGTGTGCATTCCATGATTTCTATATCACAACTGCACAGGTTTTCATATTAAAATTTCTTTTAAAAAATGCTAAAATTACACCATTTATATATAAAAAAAATATGTAAGAATCGTTTCAACTTTTTGTGAACCACTCATCTGTGACATGTGGTTCAATCTGGGAAATTAGGTAAATCGCTGCTTAAAATCGTGACATTTTATCAAGATCCCTTTATTCTACATGTCTCAATTTAAAATCCATCCATCCATTATCTATACACCGCTTAATCCTCATTAGGGTCGTGGGGAGGCTGCAGCCTAACCCAGCCGACTTAGGGTGAAGGCTCAATTTAAAATTTACCACAAAAAAGACTTGTTTGCTGTAACCACGTTCTGTAAAAATCTAAAAATTCTGTGTTAATTGGCACAAGTGTGAAGTCAAGACTGACTCAGTGGTGACCAATAGTGGCCTCAGAAAAATTCAAGCACTTTGTATCTGAACTGGGCTGAACTGCAGGCTGTGTTTACACGGAGAAGAGTCGAGGAACGTATGGAAGCAAACTAAACATCTACAGAACGTAGAGTCACCATGTTTCTTCAGTATTGTTAACACATGTGGGCAGATGAACAAAATGCTGTCCATGTGGATTCCAAGTTGCTTTCATTTTCTGTGAAACAACTACTCAGAGACATTCAACTTTTTTTTTTTTTTCCTTGTTATAATTGATGGCATTCCAAGTGTGTCATGCTGCACAGGAAGGAAGGTGTGGTGTGAGGAAAAAACGTGACAGAGCCAAAACAAAAACGCCCAGAAGCTGTTTAAGGTTGAGAAGTTCAAGAAACAAAAGGAGGCAGATTAAGAAGCCATACGCTGTATAAAGCAAAGTCTTATAGCTGTGGAGCAGAAACAGAGACCCAGACAGGTACAGCAGGACGAACCTGCATCTATGACTTTCACATCAGTATTTAAAGATCGAAACTGTCATGTGAAGCGCCTTTGAGGTTTTCAATGATAACGCGTTTGCAGTGCAGGGGGGAGGAGGCGTTCCATTTCCTCTTATGAGACGAACAGCATCTGCATTTATATTAAGGTTTTCTTTTTTTTTTCACACAGCAGCCAAATTTGCAGCATGAATTCTATTTTAAACTTACTTTTTGTTTGTCCAAGATCTTCATAGCATAGAACTGGTTCGTTCCTTTATGTTTCACAAGCATTACTCGTCCAAATGATCCGGTGCCCAGAGTCTTGAACCTGTCGAAGTCGTCCAGGCACGTTGTGCTCTGAAGGAAACATCATCAGTGGAAGTGAGACAGCAAACCGATGCAAGTCTGGTGGGCTTCCAGCTCTAACAGACACCAGCAGTTTTTGTTAAGAGTAAAAACATACGAGCTGGAGTTGGTTTTAGAGCAAATGGCTCTTACTTACATTATAATTACGCAATCTGCCAGCGTTCACATCAACAAAGTCTGAGCCATTTTGAACGACAGGAAGTGGCCAGAATGCGCTATCATCTACATGTCTTATCTGTTCCCCTCATGGAAACAGGGTGTTTAGCGAAGGTAAAGATTAAATTCTGCATCAAATCTGATGAAGATTATGTATAACACATGTCAACACACCAGAAGTGTTGCACACGTTATCAGACAGGCAGCGACAAAAATATGTGCAAAACAGGATAGCAAGTTGACAGATTAACATCTAAAATACAATAAATACAGAACACTTAGAATATTAAGACTATTTAGAGCAGCCAAAAGCCACTGAACACATTTACGTCTAAGGCACGACTTTATAATACAAAGTGTTCACAGAGGACAGCTCACCTGTGGCGGACACTCCCATTTTCTTAAAAAATCTTCTTTGGCTTTAGCTAAGAACTCTTTCACTATAAAAAGAAACAGATTTGCAAGAGAATAAATTAGAATTTCGACAGTCACACAAGGTGGGTTAACACGTTCAGGGGCGGTTTAACGTGTTGAGGAAAACAAACAAAAAGGAAGTTCACACGTTCGGGGGAATAAATGCATTTTAAGGTCAGGCAAATGTCAAGTACTGGGGAGGCAGGACTACTGTACTTGACGAAACAGCACGAAATATCTCCGTTATCAAACTCAAAACCACACACCTAAGCAGGAAAGTTTAATTCGCAAAGTGATGCAAAGAGCTCTGAGGACTTTACAGAGGTGGCCAATTTCAAGACAAGCTATTCTGCATCCCTTTCAGGAGTAGGTGGGAATAAAACAGGGGGGGGACAGGTAA